AGGGTAAACTTCGTGACGTTGTGCATACATGCGGACCAGCAACTAGGTGTTTAGGGCCCGCAGGGCGAATGAAGAAGCAAACACCTGTGGGGGGCGAGTAAGCAGCATGAGGGATGCACCAGAGATGTAACTCTCTTTATGATTACTCTCTGCTACAAAACTAGCGTTGCACTGTTGAAGCACGGGACTCGGTGAGAACAAAGCAAAACACCAAACGCGCGTATGAATGTCCCGACTTTACTTCATTGCTAATTTGGTTTGGCAGCTACACTTTCATTCCAAGAACACAGCAGCAACAACAGTCAGCACACGAGGAGCAATGGTATGAATGTACACGGATAAGCGAACGTGCACATTTGAGATAGAAAGTCATTGAACCAGCAAAGCGTCTGAACAGGAACCCAAAATAACTCTTGAGAAAACACACACACACACTTAAGACCGACGTCTTCTCATTGGTCAGTCGGCTTACAAAGCTCGTTGGTGTTCATAAAAGGAACACAAAGAGGCAACACATGCCCCTTCACCTGCATCGGACCAAAGAGCGGATTTCTTCGATGTGCTTGTCCTTGACCGACCACACTTCGTCGCCGAAGACAGCACTAACGCCGGTGAGAACATCGCCAACCTGCAGACCGGCTGCCTCAGCCTGGTCGTATCATGCGCAGCACAACAATGCAGCAGCGGTGCAGGGTATAGGTGTGTGCTTGAAGGGTGGCTGCCGACAACAAGAGAGTCACGGAGTCCATGAGATGGGGCAAAACTCGTACCGCCCGCTAGATACGGGGAGGAACAAGACTGCCCACGCGGCAAACTAAAGGTGCTAGGCACTCTTCGCTCTTCACCCCGAGCTCACCTTGTCACCGACGCTTGTGAGGTACACCAGCTGCGCCTTGTCCGTGGACTCCTCGATGGTGATGCCAAGAGGCTTGGTCATGTTGGCGATAATCTCCTCATAAACCTGCCCCCCCCGTTATTATGTTTTTATCGCAACCGATCAGTCCATGGGTGAAAAGATGTAACACGAGAGATGGCCGTGGACCGATGGTTCTTCGTACGGGGCGGGGAGACGCATCGATCGCTCAGTCACAACTACGCCAAGCATGCGCACACACCCTTGTAGCCGGGCTGCTGTCGAAGCTTGAAAGCTCCACGACCATGAGGTTGCGAAAAAAAACGACTGACACCTTGAAGGACAACTTTCAGCAATAATACTTCCAGAACCACCCTTTCCGGGAGTAGCACGCCCTCCGTTGTATGGCAATCGACTATAGAAAAGTGTATCTGGGGGATGTTGATGGATGGCCCGCATTCTTAACGGTATGCGATTGGCTTGACGTGTAAAGACCGAGGGCATTCTTATGTGGGCTTTCTTACTCTGCGGCACGGGAGTCGTCTCCCGACGATCTCATGAAAGGCACGCACCACACTGGGTCGCAGAGGCGAGAGCACCACAATCAAGAGAGAGCAAAACAAGAACAACAACCTGCACAGGGCGTGGCTCCAGCGTTTGAGTCTCAGGGGGGCGCGTAACACTCTTGTGTGCATCCAATTTCTCACCTCGTCCTCTGCGTCGTCTTCATCGTCGTCGTCTTCGTCCAAGCTCATGCGGAACGCGTCCATGCTCTTGGCCTTCTCCGCGGCCTCCAAGCGGTCCACCTCCGCCTCCACCCTCCTGTCCTCCTCCATCTCGTCCAGCTCCTCCTGCTCCTTCTGAGTCAGGCCGTCCTCGCCGCCGCCCTCCCCAGACGCGGACGCGATAGTCTCCAGCTTCTCCCGCAGCTTCTCGCTCTCGGGCATCCCTTGCGACGAAGGATCGTCGCTTCCACCGTCGGACGGCGACGAACGCAGGGGGCGGCCCAGGCTGCTGCTGAATCTCCGCTGCTGCATTCTCTCGACCCTTAACCTCGCCCCGCCCCGTTCCGACGCGTCTGTCGCCGCGGGGTTACGAGAGAATGAGGTCGCCACCCCGGCGTTGGTCGGCGATTGAAACGATGCCATCATCGTTCTCGCAGAAGTGTCTTGTTGCTGCTTCCAGGACGACGGCGGGACGGCGGGCGGGGTGAAGAACGCCTCCGCCGGGAGCGTCGACGTCGCCAACATCGCGAGAGCTGTTGCCGCTGCCGCTGCCACCGCTGCCCGAGGCATTCCTGGGCAAGGCGTCGCCGCCGCCCCCGCCCCCGCGCGTGGCCGTCTTGAAACCATCCTGTGGGGTTCGGGAAGGGGTGGGTGCGGGGGGCGTGATGGTTTACGGTTGCTGCATACTCAGAAGCGAGTAGAAAAAAAAAGCTGAGAAAAATGTACTTCTACACAGTAAATCATGATACTTAAACCGACAGCGGTGGGCCTCGCAGAGGTAGGAGGCTACCGCTGAAGCCTGTGACCTAACCACTCTGGTACCGCTTACTCTGATGTTCCCAGTAGGGAGGGGGGGCGGTCGAAACACTCAAAGTTGGGGTCACGTGGTGCACTATCCTGTAAACGGAACACTGCTCTCTAATTGCAGGACCCCTATGCGTAGTCCAATAGTCGCTCGAGACTTCTGCTCCCTCATGGACGTATGAAACTGCTGTGTACAAGCGTACAGTAGCACGGACAGAACACCACGGGGCCCGCGGGAGAGGGGAGGGTTGCTGTGTGGCAGAAGAGTGTCCCCCGATCCGCGTGTTGCCGTGCTCTGTCATGTTGATGTACGCGGGCTGTTGCACTTGATGTACACCGTAAGTCAAGGCAACAAAACATATAGCAGAATATGATGCGACAATTGCTATCCACCCCATCACCACCGAGCTACTCCTCTCAAGGGGTTTCGACCGGCCTCGGTGCCAAGGCGAGGACTAAAGAAGTGGCATCAGGCAGGAGAGACGCCGTCACTGCTGCTGCTTGTGCCTGTAGTCTGGGATGCAGCATCAGCCCGTGACATGATCACTCGTGTATCGACAAGCAGCCAATCCCGAACACAAACCTCGGAGATATTTTCAAGGACACACCCCTTGCGTTGCTTTGGTGGCTTACCGTGTAGCCTTGAGAGAAGGACTGCTGCGCAGTGTTGCAGGTCGTGCCCACAGCAGGTGATGCACCAAACACCAAGCTTGCGTGTGCCTTGGGAGGCCCCGCCGAATCAGTTCGCTGGCGTGGACCCCCTTGCTCTTAAAATGCGGCGTAATTGTTTGCCGACAGTCATGTGGTCCCTCACACTCCAGCGCAGCCGTGCGTACACTGCTGGCGATCGTTAGAGTTATGCCTGGCCGGTGGCTTAGTCGGTTGACCTTGTCTGGGGTAGGAACAACAAAAAAGAGGGCTAGAGATGTGGGTGGAGCAAGGGCTTGCCTCTCTGGAAAGGCCAGGAGAACAGCAGCGACGGGCCGCTGGTTGCAGCAGCAGCAGGCTGTTGGAACAAATGGCGCGACAACGGCAGCGGTGCGGTGGCGGTCGACGACGAGCGCTGGCAGGTCTGGTTTGTTGGTGTCATGCGAGATGGTATCCGATACGTTGTTGTCTAGTCCTTGGTACAATCATTGTTCATGTTTGGCCATCCCAAAGCAGCGGACTACACTACTTGCCGTACAACGCGGAGCTGCGATCAAGAAACGCTCCACCAACCGGTCCAAAATACACAATACTTACAGGAGATGCCTACAGGAGATAATCTGCAGCTGTACACGAACAACGACGGCACCCGCGTGTAACTGCATGTAGTCCCCCCGTGAAAACCTTCTGCAGAGGTTCACGTATCCTGTGTGCTGCCAACAACGAGGACGTACAGCAATAGAGGCTGGAGGTGGTATCACTATTTGTCGTACAGCAGTATCGTGGAGGAAGCATGGCTCATGGCTGAGAGGATGGAACAGCTGTCACGAGAGGTATTTTAACGCCGCTGCAGAACACGGATACCCCTTGGCAACGGCAGCACGTTATTGCACGCAACGCTGACAAGGAAGTCCATCTCCTTTTGATCACCCACTCTCTCTGTCTCTGTCTGTCCGTCTCTCTCTCTCTCTCTCTCTCTATCTCTCTCTCTCTCTACGTGTCGCTACATCTCTCCCCCCTCTCCATCTCGATGGACCTGTAGGAATCCTCGAGCAATACGACCACCAAACCCACGGCGGGATGCACGCGGGGACGACGAGTACCGATGGATGCACGATATCGGCAGCGAGGAGGTCCTCAGACACTTGGAGGTGCGTCCATCCAAACGTGCCCTGAATAGATGCCGCAGCTGGATGCGTTGGAGTGAATGAAACAAACAGTTCGGTTTCGCACGAACCCTTTTTTGAAGGGGCAAGGTCTCACAGCCAGACTAATGGTTTGACTACCAATGATTTCAGGAGAGTCAACAGACAGACCCACAAGACAGGTACTCAGATCTGAAGGATTTTCGTGGTGCTCGATGTGTGAGCAGTCGGTGACGTATAGTTGTAGCTGCAGCTCGTTCATCACTCGTCGTGTGCGCGAGACACGATGCAACAACGTGCAATTATTAATGCCCACAATACTAATCGATCACGTTTGTTAAGTCGCACCAACGACCGTCGAATTCAGCACGAGAATCGATATTCCGCCACGTACTTGAGGCCGCTCCATCGACGCGCGAGCGAGCTGTTCCGCCTCATGGTGGACCGCCAGCCGGAGGAGGAGGGAGGCGATAGCCGCAGCGTCCCCGAGCGTCTGGGGGACTTCCTGTACTACACGAGGAGGGACGACGGGAAAGGGTTTCCCATATACGTCAGACGTCCGGTGGAAGGCACGCTGGACGACGAACAAGTGGTGTGTACGATGATCGTGGCTGTTTTTTTTTTGTTGGTTTCCCTTATGAAGGCGGAGGCGGCGGGAACGGGTATATTTTGGCTGCAATAGGTATATTTGCGCGAAATCGCTATATGTCTCGCGTGTTGCAAAGATGTGTTGGCCTGCTTCGACATTCGGATAACCAGGATTCACGTGGTATTCCCTAGTGCAGTCATGAGCGCAGGCGTGCATGGAAGGCACCAAGCCCGGCTTCGTGGCACAAGTCAATTCTATTCTAGTGTCGGCGAAAGCGAGTTGATGGCGTGCTCGAGTTGTTTGTGTGAGGATAAATTGTGATGACCAAGACTTTGCCACGGCAATAGCCCCGCTCATAGCCAGACGCCCCCGGGGAAAAAAAAACTCGATATGGACACTCACGCGGTAGCATAATTCCTCGCATCCCCTACACCACACCTCCGCGAGAGCTCCTCTGCTCACCCCCCCCCCATTGTTTGATACTTGAAGTACATTGTAGGAAAAATGGAGTTCAACGCGGGGGATTATTCGCTCTTCCTAGGGAATGCCGTCAGCACGGCTGATACGTTAGAGGGCCAACCTTGGTATTGCCTTAGTTGGCTGTGGCACTCGAATTGCCCCACACCCCACAGGTGTTTGACCTGAACGAGGTCGAAGAGCGGGGTCTAGGCGACATCGGGTGCGGTGATCGTGGCGGTGGCGGCGACAGCCGGAACGAAGAGGGTACCTCCTCCTACTGCGGCGGAGAGGAAGATGAAGAAGAGCTCGGTACCGCGTCTTCGACGCCCGCCTTGGGCGCCATGAAGCTCTCGCCCGACCAGCGGATGCTCGCGTGCACCCTTGACATGGACGGGAGCGATCGCTTCGTGCTCGCGGTGTTCGACCTCCTGGGAGGGGGTAGGAGAGAAGACGGCGACGGTGGCAAGCGGCAAGGACCGACCGTGGCCCTGCTGAGGGAGGACGCCATGTGAGCAGCCGAGCCAGCGTGGAGCCGGTCTGTCGCCGAGCCAGCGTGGAGCCGGTCTGTCGCCGTGATTTTATTCGTTTTGGCAGTCCGTTTTGCTCTTTGTTTCTTCCAGTCTCTCGTGGCACGGCTGATAGTTGGTCCTAGGGGGGTGGGGGGGGAGGTCGACTTTCACCGTGCGTCCGACGTACACATCCAAGGGTCCGTTAGAGGTTCCGCGCTTTGCGTCTCGCGGGTGGGCTACGGAGCCATACTTAACCGAGCAGAGCAAACATGCTTTTTTCTCTTTCTCAAGTCTGCAGAAAAGTCAGTCTGCCCCACACTACCTCTACGTCGATTGGCGATTGGCATTAACACTGTAGGTCCCGGGTGGGTAGGCCACAGGTCACGAGTCACGAACCTCCTTCATTTCCGGTTAGACCTTTTTCACTCCGCTCCTGGGCTCCTCTTTGGCTGTATGGAAGATCGTCGTTCTTTTCTTGTTGGCGGTGTTGCTTCCGCCGGCGATGCCCTTCTAGAAAGTCGGTCTAGTAAATCGGGTTATTTCTCGACGCGAGACGTATGGCTAGACCAAGACCACCGTGAGAGTTCAGGCGAACACACAGGTGCGCGCGATCGGTTTGGTTGTTCAATATCGATTTCTCCACAATGCCAAGAGGGTAAGGGGGTGCTATCGAAGCCCAACCGATACGTACAAGGAAAGCTAGCTCTCGATCGAGATATCTTTCCAAAACCACCGTTTTGTGCAGGTCAGGATATGGAGGTTCAGTAGATCTGAGGGATGTGTGATAATAGATCATGGTTTCAACGCAACCTCTTGCTTGTGGAGCAATCGACCCCTTATTCTTTGGTTTTCGGTCACAAGACGCGTTACTTCGTGCCGCCGTGGAGCATTGAGGCTATCTACGGTGCCATCGCCTGCTGCATCGCGCGTGTCCCATCCCATCACCATCAGGTGGGACGATGTTATCGGGGTGGAGTGGGGATCGACCTGGTCACCTCAAGACCTTGCGAGAGACGGCGGCGGCGGCGGCGATGGCGCCGGCAGTGGCGAGGGTGGTCTCAAGGAGTGCTCTCTTGAGTATGAGCTGTTCTACACGGTGCCCGACCATCTGCGGAGACCTTGGCAGGTGACGCTCACCTAGACTCGTCTATGTTGTTGCTCTAAAGTGCGCTCGACGAAGGATACCTGAGGCTGCTCAAGGTCGGGTTGATTCGCGTGCAGCCCTTCTTTTCCTCTGTCCCGTCGAAGCCTTCTCTGCTGAACCTCTTTGAGGTTCCCCCCCTCCCCCCCCGTACTCATAGCCTGGGCCGGCGAAGACCCGGCCTATGGTGCTATCCCGGCACTCTGGGGATGCGAGGTCTGTGGTATAACGACTACGACATGCGTTTACATGACTACACCCCCTCCCCCCCCCCGTACTCACGCCTTTGTCCGGATGGGCGTGGGGACGCTATCTATGTGTTTAGGTCCGTCGCGTCGTCATACATCGAAGGACGAGCTCAGCTGAGTCAGCAGGCCGTACCGACGACGCTTGCGGTGGCGGGGGCACGGGGGAAGGCTGGAGGGTGGAATCCGCTAGCGACCGCGCCGTGTTCGAAGAGAAGAACGATGCCTTCTTCGTGGACGTCGGAAAGACCAAGGACCACTCATTCGTTGTCATCAACGTACACTCCAAGACTACCTCTGAGGTCTACCTACTACCGGGCTCGACGTCGCCCAAAGTCGGGAGTGGGGGTGCCGCCGGAGTCGAGGGGAAGGCGGCGACGGCGGCAGCTGATGCCGCGGCCGCCGCCGCCGCCGCTTCTCATGAGCACGAGTGCGCTGGTCCCACGCTGCTCAGGAGAAGGCGCCAGGGCGTGGAGTACTACGTGGACCACTCTGGCGACGCCTTTTACATCGTTACCAACTCCCCACCGTCGAAAAACGGTGGTGTTGGAGATAGACACGGGCAAAGCGGAACGCCAAGGTCGTCGTCGGTCCACGCGGGGGAATACCGTCTTGTCCGGGTGCCCCTGCAGCAGCAGCAGCAGCAGCAGCAGCAGCAGGCGGGGCGGGGGGGAAGAAGTGGTGATGCCTCCTCCTCCTCCTCGTCCTCGCTGGAAGGCGTCGCCGACGTTCCGTGGGAGGCGGTGCCGTGCGGAAGGCATCCCGGCACGGTCCAAGAGATGGACCTCTTCAGGGACTATTGCGTCCTGTACGAGACTTGCCCCGCGTCCGGCTGCCCGCGCCTGCGGGTGGTCCCCCTCGCCCACTCATCCCCCGCCCCCGCAGCAGGCGGCGACGGGAGGGTCCCGTCGCCGTTCGTCGTATCCCCGCCTAACGCTGGCGGACGTTGCGGCGACAGCGTTGGTGATAGCGCTGGTGATAATAAAAGCGTTAGCGATAGTGCTAGTGATGGCGGCAGCCTTAGCGCAAGCGGTCCCGTAGAGCAGGGAGAGCCTGCCGCTAGTGCAGCAGCGGGGGCAGCGACGGCGTCGAGCGCCGCGTGTACCCTCAGGCCGGGGGTGAACTCGTGGTTCGAAGCTCGAACCGCGCGATTCTCGCTCTCGTCGCCCACAGCGCCGGAGGACGTGTACGACGTGTGCTTGGAGTCCGGCAGGGTGGAGCTGCTGAGGCGGACAGAGGTGCCGGGTAGCCCTCGCTTCGACGGTCGGGACTACATGTAGGCGTCTTCAAATCGGACCTAGGGGGGGGGGGGGGGGGGG